GAATGAAATACTTGTCATTACTACAGTAATAATTAGCATGTTAAAGAGTAGCTTTTAAAAGTTAGGTATTTTTACATCAACAGGTCTGAATAACTGGATTCCAAGAGTTTTAGAAGAGAGTTAATGCTGCTTTTTTTCAGCAAGTCTTGGAAACCTTGCAAAAGTCCAAAGAACTAAATGTCAAACTAATTTGATAAAACAGCTACTCCTGGCTTAATGTTGTAGTTCCATTCTTGAAAAAATTTGACTTTAAGTTAAACAATGTTAAGCAAATCCAATTACATCACAGTCATTACCTACTAGGAGGCAGTGGCCAAACAATGTTATAACCAAACACTGCATGACTTTAAACGAGTATGTTCTTTAATAGATCAGCGGCATAATAATGAAACAACGTTAACCGGGACAAAGTTAAGTGAGCAGTACCTGTTGGGGAGGGGGGTTGTTTGGGTTTCAAGTTGGGGTGGGGGTTGTCTGGATTTGGTTTTTTTAAGATGTAATAGATGCAGATTTGTGCACATATCAAAAGAGGTGGACAAGTCTGTGATAATTATCTAGATCACTTGGTAAACTGAATGCTAACAGAGTGCACTTTAATATTGCCAATGGTAATATTACACTTACCTATTTTACTTAAACTCTGCTCCTTAAATTATATCATGCCTTTTGTTTTGATGCAGTGGGAGCCTCTAATACCTTTTTCTCTCCTTTTTTGCTTAACCGCAGCAGTCCCTACAGTTAATAGCGTAACTGCTCTCTAATCTATGCAACTCACTTTTGGAACTTGGCTGACGCTTATTTAGTCATTATATGTTTCATAGTTTCATAGTTTCTAGGGTCGGAAGGGACCTGAGCAGATCATCTAGTCCGACCCCCTGCCATGGCAGGAAGAGCACTGGGGTCAAACGACGGAGACTAGATGTACACTGGGGTCAAAGAGGAGGCTAGATGTACACCTTACTGGGGTTGCTGGAAAGCGAACACAGACGCCACGACGGACTCCCCCAGCGCCTGATCCCCCCTAACCAGTTTATAACAGGCCACAAGATCCCCCCTCAGCCTTCTCTTTTGAAGGCTGAACAGGTTCAGGTCCCGCAACCTTTCCTCATAGGACCTACCCTGCTGTCCCTTGATCATATGAGTGGCCTCCTCTGGACCCTCTCGATGCTGTCCACATCCCTCTTAAAGTGCGGCGCCCAGAACTGGACGCAGTACTCCAGCTGTAAAAATCTGCATTGGGTCATGGCTTTACAACACCCAGTAAGGACATGGAATTGCGGTTTCCATGCCTTGTCATACATGGCCAGCTTTTAAGTTTCTCTCTGCAATTTTCACCATGGCAAAAATGTGAAAAAGAAATAAATGCTTGCCACTCCGCAGATATACAGGAAATCAAGAGTGTATGTTGTTTCCCCAACAGCCTGGGCATTTCTGAAGATTTTGTCCCATTCTTCACCAGGTATTCCTCCCAAGGTTCAGACAGGGGTCTTTTTTATTCTCTCAGTATAGAAAGATTATAAAAGTGTTTAGTGTTGTCTTACGCAATTCTTATTCTTGGCACGTTTATAGATGTGGAGGTGTTACAGATGAACAAAACCTTTCAGAGTGCCTTCCAAAGAAACTGTGGTTGTGAAAAATTTCTGAGATCATTTCTCAAGCGTGCTTACATTCTGTTGGATGCCGCTGCCAAATAAGCTGAAATAAGATAAAGCCATGAAAATATGTTAAACGCTCAGTAGAGCTTCAAGCTTGCTGAAGAAAAGCTCATTGGGTGCAAGGCTTTCCAGGAAATGAAGTGGGGAGGAGGCCTATCCGGCAAGATTAGGTTCCACTCTCACTACCCCCACGCAGATACAGGCTTGGTACGTGCAAGTTATTGCCTGCCTGTGTCTTTGAGAAATTAGCATTTTCTATCTCACTCCAGGGAATGCCTTCAACTTCAGAGATTTAATTTTTTTTTTAATTGAGAAGAAAGTTGATAGAGCTGGAATTGGTGTTCCTGAAACTCTAGACCTTCTTTCAGAATAGGGAAACTCAGAGATGGAAAAGGAAATATATTGGTGCCTGGGGTGAATCCTTCCCAAGCAACACAACTTGTTGCCTCATTTTATATCTATTAAGCTTTCCAGATGCCTATGAGTAGCAGTCTTCACTGCGTATTATCTTGATGAGAATATATTAATATTTTAAAATCTGTAATTATTTTTGTCTTAACTCTGAATCCAGTCTTGCCCCTCATCAAAAGAGAAAAGAGGCATGTGCTACCAGTTCACATGAAACCAGAAGTTATTAAAATGGCAAAAGTTTTAGTTTTCGGACTTGACTTCTGGTTTTTGTCCGTCGTGGTGTCTGTGTTCGCTTTCCAGCAGTGTCCTGCAGTGGTTCTGTTGGGCTGCGTAGGGAACGGGCGCCGACATGCAACTAACATTGCAGCTGTCTCCAGTCTGAAAGTAGGACAGGGATGTAACCATACAACGAAAACTGCTAGTAAGCAATCCAGAGGAAGCGTAACAGGCCAATTTGCTCTTATGAGAATTCTCCCTATAATACCGTTTTGCTACCTTTTATCTGTCTTAAATAGAAACCAGTATAAATTGTAAGACTAGAAGAGGTGCGAAGGATCATCGCTTACAAACCTCTGGTCAGATTCATTATTTGCTGTCCCTTAAACATCCTCCGATGAAAGAGATTCAACAAATTCCCTCAGCAATTCATTCTCTTGTTCTGCAGGTCTTGCAGCTAGGATGTTTTCTTCTGGGATTTGATCTAAACCTGCTTTGCTGTAATTTAAACCTTGCCTCCTGTCCTGACCTCTGTCGTAGGGGAGAACAAGTTTTTCTCCATCTTCTAAATAGCTGCCTTCAAATACTTGAAAATTGGCTATCAGCCTTCTCCACTCTCCACCACCCTTTAATCTCCTTTCCTTCAAACTAAACATACCTAGTTTCTTCAACATTGCTTTTCATCTGCCTTACCTCCATCACTCACTCTCCGGTTTCTGTCCTCTTTTAAATGTAGTATAATGCTTCTTTGAATACAACCCAAATCTTCACCCCTCCCACTTTTTTTCTAAATCAAGTTGCTGACTCCTGTTGAGGTTGTTCTGCTGTAACCTTAGATGCTTCTTGGCAGTGCTACTGCCCAGCCAATCCCCATTCTGCACCTGCATTTGTTTTTCTTCTCTACAAGTAGCACCTTACCTTGGTCTGGGTCAGACTGTATTTTGTTCTCTCCAAGCTAGTTCTCCAAGTTATCAAGATCCTTTTGAATTTTAATCCTATTCTGAAAAGTGTTTGAAACCCTTCCCAACAAATTTTGATGAGATTCTGTATTTCTGCATCCAAGTAATAAAAATGTTAGCATCCAACCCAGAACAGAACCCTGTGGAAATCTCACTTGAGGCTCCTTGCCAGCCTGACATCATTAATAGCTATGCTTTGCTTGCAGCTATTCAGCCAATTAGAACCGCTGTTAGGTGGGTCCATAACTAGCCCGTATTTCTCCGACTTGCTTATGAGAATGACACGTCAGGCGCCTTGCTAACGTTCAGGTATATTAAATCCACCAAATTCCACGTATTCGCACAATGTTTTACCCTGTCAGAAAAGGAAATTAAATTGACAAGATTTTTTCTTAACAAATCCAAGTTGGCTACTAGTGCTCATCCTCTCCAGTTATCCATAATTTAACTTTTATAATTGGCTCTAGTAATTTCCCCAAATACTGAAGTCAGGCTAACTGATCTATAATTCCCTAGGTCCTCCTTTTTTTCCTTTTCCCTATTTTAACCCATCTTCATTTTGTTGGTACATTGCCTATGAGCCAAGAGCTGGCACACGTCACTGGTGGTATTGAGATTTCTTCAGCTACATCTTGATATTTTCCTGCAGGGGTGTGATATTTTTCACCTGCTATAGTTGTGAAGCGTACAGTAAATGTGAGGAGGACATTTTAAATCTGCTTTAGTGTATTTTGACCAAACTTACAGTCAGGCTGTTTTCCAGGCACAGTCAGGCAATGACTCAACTTCCTGTCACGGGGCTTTAACGTAATGAAAGAAAAGGTGTTTGTTTCAGTAAAAACCACAAAATTGGCGACTGGTTTGGGGCAGTAATTTTATCTGAAACTACTGTTGGTCTCATTTTCTTTCTTACCAGCTTTAAATTTGATTTTTAAATTGCCCCTTTAAACTTGTAGCCTTTTGGGAGTGGTCACTAGAATTCAAGATCATTTAAAAGGATAGTTAGAAATTTAGTTTGACTATTATATATCCACCTTTTGATATCTGCTCCTAGCAAGAATGAGCTCTTTAACAAACATGCAGACAAACACATACACAGGCTAGTCTGATTTATGAAAGCAGTTAAATTTGATAGTGCTAACATGCATACATTTACAATACCAAAGAGGACTGAACTAGTGGATTATCTTTATTTCAACTCTTCCTTCTAGGTTAAAAGAAATGTGTAAAATTTACTGACCTACAAGATCTAGCTGTTTAAACCAACTAGTCCATATTCTTAGTTGTCTTTTGGCAAGCCTGGTAGCAGGCTGAGAGGGTGCCTTCTTACTCCCCACTTTATCTCATATGTAAGAGTCCTGTCCCATAAGTTTATCTGAAATGAAAGCAAAAAATAGAACAGGGAGCAAACACGACCCACCCAAACCAAATAAACCAAATCCATCTTTTCATAGGAGTATGTCAAACACTTGCATTTTGTGTGTTATCCATTCAAAAAGGAAATTGCCTCTGGGTGCTGTGATGGAAGGTTTCTCAGAGGCCACGAAACAAGGTTGGACCCCACCAAGGGTGGACAGGATTTTAGGGTGACAGGCCAAGGCATGTAGGCCAGGCAGGCAATAACTGAGGATCGCACAAAAGTTTAGCAGTGTAGGTGGAAAGCTGACCACTTGCGAATATGTATGACAAAGCTATGAGGTTTACACTTATACCTTGTTTCTGCTAGGAGGGTTAGACAACATGACTCTCCCGGCAAAATCCATGTAGAGTAAATATGCCCAAAAGCAAGGTTTGCAGATGTGGACAAAGAAGAACGGAGTCAAAAGTCAAGATTATGGGCTTGAACAACAGACACGATGACAGTGATGCCCAGGAAAACGGGCGAGCGGGGGAAAAGCTCAGGTGAATAGCAGAAGCTGTTTTGGCCTCCTTAAATTTCAGATGCTGCTGGAATCCTGAAACGTTCCCATCCAGCATGGCAGTTCAGTAGTCTCACAGAACAATTGGGATGCTCCTTTCTAGACAGGCTGATTATTATTTTTTTTAAAACAAACTTTGGTGTGTCATCTTTTTTTCCCCCATTTATCAACTTAATTCCACAACTGTCACTCTTCACGTTTCTCAGAAATGTGCAGAATTACTGCTGATTTAAGTGCCAGGGTAAAAATACGTGATGGAAATATGCCATTGTGTAGAAGTGTTTTTTTTCTTTAAAAACCCTTGGATTTTATAACAACAAATGTACAGGTACAAAATGGCTTAAGAGAACAAGGCAGAAGGAATAGATCTTTGGTGCTAAGACTACTGCCTGCTATTTATATTAATAATGTAAAACTTTCTTTATGCAGAATTAGTTCAGAACGCAGGAAGGAGAAATCCAGAGATGCAGCCAGATGCCGAAGAAGCAAGGAATCCGAAGTCTTCTTTGAACTTGCTCACCAGCTGCCTCTACCTCACACGGTGAGCGCACACCTGGATAAGGCCTCCATTATGAGACTGACCATCAGCTACTTGCGCATGAGAAAGCTGTTGGATACTGGTAAGTGAATAAAAGTCCTTGTGGCTTATAAACAGAGGGTGGTTAAGAAGGCAGTGGGTTGAGGATCTTGTCCCAAGTACATTCTTTTATATGCTGTAAAAATGTTTTTGATGTTAGTAATCTAACCCCTCACATCCCTTTTACTCTGGTTAAAGATCTCCCGATGGATTTCTGAACCAAGACAGAAGAAAAATTCTTTTTGCTTTTAAGTCTCAGAGCCCTAAGAGACTGACAGAAATGGCCAGGGTGATGGGGTCCCAAACTAATGTTCTCACGTGTTTTTCTGTGTCCCTGATGTGCACGTGTATTGGCTCACAAAAGCACCAGTACCATTTTAAAAATCTCAGCTGTAGAAGCCATTCGTAAAAAACATTAGGATTAAGGGTTTGGGAAACAATACTCCAGTGTGCCCTTCTTTTCTCTTGGGAGATGGATCATAACTAAACAACAAACATGCCTTCTCTGTGGCTAGCTGGTGGAAATTTGTGTTTGCTAACTTTCAGTATCCCAGTTTAAACTACTCTGGTTCAGATATCATTAACTAACTGCATGCCTGCCTTGCAATCAGATGGGACTGCAGCAGAGGTAGGCATATCAGAGCTTGCTTTAAATTAAATTAGCTCACCTACCAATAGTAGTGAAGCCTGCTGCAACTGCTTCACTGCTGTTCATATACAAACTAGCTGAATTTAAAGCTAGCTTAGAGATGTTGGCCCTGCAGTCACACCTTGGTAGGCATACCTTGAAGTATCTTCAAGGGAACCAGTATTAACACAGTGCTAGCAAATGGCAGTGATTGTTTAAATGAGAGAATAGCAACAAATTCTGCTTACTAGGGTGCTAAGTAAGTTTTACTTACCAAGAAGTTATACAGGTGACACTTGTTTTAACTCTGAAGTAAACTTGAAAAGAAAGATCTGTTGCTCTAATTTTGGAACTTTTGAACACAGTTTTTGGTAGCAATACTTTTTTTTAATCAAACTATTTTTTTAATGCTTCTGATCTTGAGTGAATCAGATGCTCAATCACAACAACTTCCTCTCCTGTTTATTTCATCTAAGAGAAATCTGTTGTCTTTGAACAGCCTGGAGAGTGGCGTGTTCATTTCACATGATTTTTAGCATTGGACAAGAAAATGTGGAATAACTGAGGTTCATTTAAATAAGAAAATGTGGGGTTTTGTAGGTGACGTGGAGACAGAAGCCAAAATGGAAAAGGAGCTGAACTGCTTTTACTTAAAGGCCCTTGATGGATTTGTTATGGTGCTTTCTGAAGATGGCGACATGATTTACATGTCTGAAAACGTGAACAAGTGTATGGGCCTCACACAGGTGAGAGAGATGATACTTGTTGAGAATCTCTTACAAAATTTTGTCTGCTTGTGCATGTTTGAGTCTTTTAAATAGCTAGACTTAGATTCATCTTACTCTTACAGTTTGATCTGACTGGACACAGTGTGTTTGATTTTACTCATCCTTGTGACCATGAGGAGTTGAGAGAAATGCTTACGCACAGAAATGGTGAGAAGACTAGTTTACTATTTCATTTTATGATAAGTGGCTCTTGCTAGCATGGGTTATATCATACTGTTAAACAAAGGTTGCTGGCAATTTCTGCACATGTCAACAAAAAGCTTAGGGCTTGCTTTCTTGCACCACTCTAAATCAGGGTGCAACTCTACTATATTCCTAAATTTGAAGCCAGGGTGAAAGCAAAAACAAGGACCTGAATATTAATTCAGTTGGTGATATAAATTCACTGCAAATGCACTTCTGAAAATGAACCCTCTTTCAGCACTCCCTATCATAAAGGATCAATTTATGCTACTCGCAAGCATTCTGCTTCTCCCCCTTATTGAACCTGAAAATGTGGGGTCAACTTACAGTTGGAAGAACATGATAATTTACCTGATTTAAAATCCAGGTTACCTTGGATTTTCCTGCTGTGTATGTGCAAATTAAGAACACAACTTCTTGCAACGTGCACGCACCCCTAGATCTAGGTTAGTGAAGGCTACTCACAGTTACTGGGGGACAGAACAGTCTACCAGATAAGTTATGGGTGTTTTTCAGCAATAATCTTACCTTGGACAACAAGGTACCAGTTTCCTTCCAAGCCAGGGGTCTTGCTACTAGTAGCACATTACTCTCAATAGACAAGATCATTTAAGCAGTTTTTAAAATTCAGGTTTAATGTAAGTGAACCAAGAGATAGGGCAAAACAGTACTGCAACCCCTCCTCCTCCTTCATCCCCACTGTGAGTTATTGGGGAGGATTCAGATAAATAGACTTCAGCTCAAAAATACCCCTATTACTGCAGGGACTTTCAAATGTCAGTGTGGGGAAGAACTCCATACCTTAATTCATTTACACATGCTTTCCCCTCTGCCTTGAAACTGGGTTAGCTAGAAAGAGAACCAGGATCTTAGCTTTTCTGTTTTCACAAGATCACTGCAATTTCATTTCTTTTTTTATATATCTTTATCTATATATATATTGCAGTAAAAACTCTTATCTGAAGCTCACTGTTATTCAGAATGAGGTCAGGTCTCCCAACATACATCGTTCACAGCTAGAATTCAACCATATTATGCTCATGTCCTTGATTCTCTCTACAGCTAGTTTCACAGCACACCTCAGTACCTTGTGAAGGTGATCGGAGCACTCACGTTTGGTTTGTTGTTTGTTTGTATTAGGTCCTGTGAAAAAGGGCAAAGAACAGAACACAGAGCGTAGTTTTTTCCTCCGAATGAAGTGCACGCTGACTAGCAGGGGAAGGACAGTGAATATAAAATCTGCAACATGGAAGGTAACTAATATGGGGTATACAGAAGACAATATTGATGCAACTAGACAATTTACTTTTCAGATCTCTAAGTACAAAAGCCCATATTTAGTAAAAAATCAACTTGAGTCACAATATTCCTTGTCAGCTTTGTGAAACTTGCACCTTCTTTTTTGTGACAAAGGAACAAATTCTTCCATTCAGTGATGCACCTGAATGTGCTGAGCTTTGGTTTTTCAATATGTTGCAGATGCATTTGAATTTTTAATACCTTTTTAAAATTAAACAACAGTTGTTGAGAGCCTTTTGAACAGAGTAATCTTTCAGTTTAAGTCAGGAGTCAGATCATTAAAACTTGTGTGTGAAACTTCCTGCTCTTGAGTTAAATATTAAATCCTATTTATAACTGATCCTGAATGAGTTTGCATAGTAGGGGCACCATGATCGGTGATTCCATGAATCATAGAATCAATGAGTCGGAAGGGACCTAGACAGATTATCGAGTCCAACCCCCCTGCCATGGGCAGGAAGGAGCACTGGGCGTGGGAGGGGTCATAAGACCCCAGCCAGGTGCCTGTCCAGTCTCCTCTTGAAGACTTCCAGGGAAGGTGAGAGCACCACCTCTCTGGGAAGTCTATTCCAGGCTCTGGCCACCCTTACAGTGAAAAAGGAGAAGAGTCGGCGTCATTGTTCCTCTAAAAGTGCCAGTTATTCCATAGAGCCTAACAAGAATAAAAGATTGTCTCTTAAAATGGATGCATCCTGTTCTCCAGATAAAATATTAATGCTTTTAATATATTAAATGGATGCACTCTGTAAAAACAAAACGAACAAAGGCAGCTGTGGCTTTCAGTTCATTAGTCATACATGATCAAACATGCTTTCCTTTCTTTTCCAAACATTTCTGAGTTATAGGAGGGAAAAAAGTAGGTGTCAAGGTTTTTTCTTTGAAGAATGTTTGGGATACGCTTAATCTCTGTCCTTCCATCCTTGTCTTCACCCAGAATGAAAAATACATATTACTGCATTATTAGTAGACACTATCTGCTGATGCAAAATGCCACAGATGAGTTGTTACACTTGCCTATCGGTTATGGAGGCAGCTTTCAGAAAAGAACAAATTAATTCACTGGCACTAAAAAGGGAAAAGTCGGTCACCAGCTTAACTTGATATTTTTTTTAAGAATTAGGTAACGCAGCAATGCTTGAATGCAGCTGCTGCATTTTAGCTGTTGACACTAATTCCTCAGGTAGGAGAGAGGATGCCATTACCCAGCAAGATGCTCTTATGAAACAAAATGTAGTAAAATGCTGGTCTGCCTCTTCTAATAGGAAGAAACCCTAACTTTAAAAATGTGTTTTGTCTGTAGGTACTGCATTGTACAGGGCATATTCGTGTGTATGACACATGCAACAATCAGACTCACTGCGGGTATAAAAAGCCTCCTATGACATGCTTGGTGCTGATCTGCGAACCTATTCCACATCCATCAAATATTGAGGTTCCCTTGGACAGCAAGACATTCCTTAGTCGTCACAGTCTTGATATGAAGTTTTCCTATTGTGATGAAAGGTAACACTGAACCTAAGTCCTGAGAAGCATGCATGTGTTGGTGTGTTCAGGGTAGTTTTGCTAATGCCAGTTTTATATTTCTCATAGATAGATTTATTCATTTTTACCCAGCTATAAAATGGAGTTCCCAATATATATTATTTAAAAAGGTAGGGCTGTTTTTTTTTAAACTCGAAAACCTTAATTTAATTAAGGGAACAATCCTTTATGGACTCTGCTCTTAAACAATTTAACCAGTTGTTAATTTAAATAGCAATGATAAAAATACTTAAGTTGGAAGACACTCTCTGTGGTGCTGAAAAAGAATAGTTTGTTAGTTTGTGATGGGTAGGAGCCAGAAAACGCAAAACACTTTTGACTGAGTCTTTAATTGTGCCTCTTCCCCTTTCTCTTCCCCCCCATCCCCAAAACTTAGCATTCTTCATCTGGAAGGACCCATAATAATTTTATTTATCAAAATACAGCCACCTTTTAAGATGTCACATACCTGCTATTTTTAATTTCAGTTGAATCAACCCTTCTTGCATGTGCACTTGATTTACAGCAGATCTAAATGTGCTTCATCAACATTTTATCACTGAAAATTAGGTTTGTTAAATTTAAAATCTGGAAGTAAAGTAACTTGTTTTAAATCCAATCCCATGTCCTAAATTGCTTTGTACTGCCTCTTATTGATAAGTTTTGATACATCTCTAATAGAGAAGGTTGCGGTAGATGTAGTCTTTCTGGACTTTCGGAAGGTCTTCAACACTGTCTCTCACCCCGTTCTCATTAAAAAACTGGGGGACTGTGGTGTCGACACCCACACAGTCAGATAGGTCGCCAATTGGCTGGAGGGCTGCACCCAGAGAGTGGTGGTGGACAGGTCATTTTCGACCTGGAGGGATGTGGACAGTGGGGTCCCCCAGGGCTCGGTCCTCAGGCCCGCACTGTTCAACATCTTCATCAGTGACTTGGACGAGGGGGTGAAAAGAACCTTGTTCATATTTGCAGATGACGCTAAGATGTGGGAGAAGTGGGCATGCTAGAAGGGAGGGACAGGCTGCAATTGGATCTGGACAGGTTACAAAGGTGGGCCAATGAGAATAAGATGGGATTCAATACCGACAAATGCAGGGTACTGCACCTAGGGAGAAAGAACCAGCACCATAAGTACAGGCTGGGGAACTCTCTTCTCGTCAGTGCAGAGTCAGAAAAGGATCTTGGAGTCATCATTGATGCCAAAATGAACATGGGTCGGCAGTGTGGGGACGCAGTCAGGAAGGCCAACTGTACCTTGTCCTGCATCCACAGATGCATCTCGAGCAGGTCCAAGGAGGTGATCCTCCCCCTCTATGTGGCACTGGTCAGGCCGCAGCTGGAGTACTGCGTCCAGTTCTGGGCGCCGCACTTCAGGAGGGATGTGGACAATCTCTGGAGAGGGTCCAGAGAAGGCCACTCGCGTGGTCAGGGGGCAGCAGGGCAGGCCCTACAAGGAGTGGCTACAAGACCTGAACCTGTTCAGCCTCCACAAGAGAAGGCTGAGAGGGGATCTGGTGGCTGTCTATAAACTGACCAAGGGAGTCCAGCAGGCAATGGGAGAGTCCCTGTTCCCCTGAGTACTACTGGGAGTAACAAGGAATAATGGCCACAAGTTGACGGAGAGTAGATTCAGGCTAGACATCAGGAGGCGCTACTTCACAGTCAGGGCAGCTAGGATCTGGAACCAACTTCCAAAGGAAGTGATGCTCGCTCCTACCCTGGGGGTCTCTAAAAGGAGGCTAGATAGACACCTACCCGGGGTCGTTTGACCCCAGCATTCTTTCCTGCCCGTAGCAGGGGGTCAGACTTGATGATCTGCTCAGGTCCCTTCCTACCCTACCAACTATGAAACTATGAATAGCTACAATTAACTACAATGAGCTAGTTTGTAATTTGGGCAGTTGCTTCATCATCAGTTTGCTATTAAATTGAAATGACTATTGCACATTAATGACAGTTTTTTCTCAGAACTGGTCTGTATACAAAAATTGTGTTGTTCTAACTAGGTTGAAGCAGCAGTTTCTGTGCACAGACCAAGCATCTATAAATCGGCAATTAAACCGAGTCAAGCTCTTGTTTTACATTGACCTCTAGTGGTTAAAGGAAATGCAACATTTGTTTTAAAAGTATTTGTTGATGCTCTAAATGTATATTGGAAATTTTGTAAAATTCTGATTCCTGCCTCTCTTTTATTTGAATTTAAAACTGCTGTCATATTTAATCTCTTACTTATTTGATTTAAATTACTTTGTTACCTTATCTAGCAGCCCAAATTTAAAAAAAAATCCAGAGAATTTAGATCAGAACTAAGTAATGAGAAATGAAGGAATATAAATAGTCCAGATAGCAGTAAAACAGAGTACCTGTAAATACTTTGGGTTAGGACTCGAAAGAGTTCTTTGAGCTGGGTAAACAGCAGAACGGATAAGATGCCTTAAGTTACCTTTGTGCAAAAGGGAAACTATCATAAGCACACCACTGTTTCTGTTAATGTATTCTGGTTTGGAACAGTATCCCTAGAGCCACAAATATCTAAATTAATTCTGTTCAACGTATTATTCCAAACTAATTCATATCTGCTTTCACTTACCTTTTTTCCTCCCCATTTAAAGAATTACAGAGCTGATGGGATACGAGCCAGAAGAACTATTGGGTCGCTCCGTCTACGAATACTATCATGCCCTGGATTCTGATCATCTGACCAAAACACACCACGATAGTAAGTGGAAAAACACACCTGGATTTCTAACTTAAGTATCTGAAGAGAAGGCGGGAGAGCCATAGAAAGAAAAAGTTTAATTTGCAAATACAAATTCAAAGTAATTGTTTCATATTTTTCCTTTGAAAGCATATTTGTTGTTAAATTAAAGTTGGCTTTCTTTTTTCATTTTAGTGTTCACAAAGGGGCAGGTGACCACAGGGCAGTACAGAATGCTTGCTAAACAAGGTGGATATGTTTGGGTTGAAACTCAAGCAACTGTTATCTACAACACTAAGAACTCACAACCACAGTGCATTGTGTGTGTAAACTATGTATTGAGGTAAGCTGTGGATAGTTGAAGACTTTTTGCACATTCCCTTTATTAAAGACTGAATCAGACTCTAATGACACTGCCGCTTTACACCAGTTGGGGGAATTTGACCTCATCCATTCTGGTATTTTTCTCACCTTTCGAAGTCAAGCTTTTGCTTAGAAAATTGGCTGGTGCAAGGTTAGGGAACAACAAAAAAAGCACAGTGACTTTTTAATACATATCTAAGATTCCCATTAATGCTGGGGAAATAGGGAAATGAAGGCTAGATTATGGCCAGGCTTTTGTGTACCACAGTAACGGAAGTGTTCAAAAGCAGAGATGTCCAGATTATTTTTGTTCAGAGTTCAAAGCATAATTTCCTCTGTTAGTGGTGGCTTACTTGTTGTCACAGAACATCAGTGCTTAAAACATAACCTTTTAGATTCTTTTATCAGGGTAATTTATTTATCTTCAGTTATTTAATACGTTTCTTTAGACTCAGGGTAACTTGTTTATACATTTTTGTTTTTTTAATTAATCAACGTTCAAGTTTTCAAGATGGTGTTGTTAGTATTGTCTACAATTTAGTGTTCTTACAACTTGTTCCACTAAATGGTATATTAATCTGTAATGACTACTGCTAGAATACATAACATTTATAAAGATCCCCAGCTTTATATGTTTTGTGATTCTTCTCTTTAATTTATTTACACCTGCTTATAAAGCACAGCTGTCCGCTTACTTAAAATTATCTTTTTATATTGTCACAGTTGGGAAGATTACATTTTAGGGGAGGAATGGGCAATAAGGGTGATTTTTACAACTCCTAGTTTTATGAAAATGCGAAACACAAATTAAAATATTGATCAGACAGAATAGTTTCTGTATCCGCCATAAGGAGTTAGGTGGTTTTTAAAGGTAGTCTTCCTTTTTGTCTTTGACAGTGGTATTGTCCAGAAGGACTTGATTTTCTCCCTTGGACAAACTGAATGCATGTTGAAACCAGTGGAGTGCCCTGACACAAAAACGACCAAAATATTCAACAAGACTGACGTGGAAAATACCAACAGTCTCTTTGAAAAACTCAAACAGGAACCAGATGGTTTAATGCGGTTGGCACCAGCTGCTGGAGATACAATTATCTCACTAGATTTCAGCAGTAATGGTGGGTCTGTGTTTAATTTGGAGAACCTGCCAATTAGTAAAGTCAGTTTATGTTTAAAGTATATATGTGGAAAAACTAACTTCCCAGTATCACTTTCCTTAATCAAATGATTTCAGCTCTTGTTATTTAATGAGGTCCATAGACACACTCAGTATCTTTACTTAGGTTGATGGTTTTTTTTAATTTTTATAGAGTCTGATGAGCAACAATGTGATGAAGTTCCTTTGTATAATGATGTAATGCTCCCCTCATCCAGTGAGAAATTGCAGAGTATAAATTTGGCAATGTCCCCACTACCTGCTTCTGAAACTCCAAAGCCACTTCGTAGCAATGCTGACCCTGCACTCAATAGAGAAGTTGTGTCAAAGCTGGAGCCAAACACGGAACCACTAGAACTCTCATTTACCATCCCTCAGATGCAAGAAACGCCTGACAGTCCCAGTGATGCAAGTACCAGCCAAAGTTCACCTGAGGTCAGTCATGACTGTTCCTAAATCACATTAAAATATGGCAGACTTCTTTATAAAGACCTCTGATCAGTGTGGAGTGAATTGTGAATGTGAATGTAGTAGAACCCTCATCCTTTGTATCCGGGTGGTTTGCAACTCTCTTAATTTCGCCTGTTTTCTTACAGCTTTTAAGTCCAAGGGCACTGCTTTTCCACATATCTGGAGCTCATCAGTGGTCCAGTGCAGCTGAGCAAAGCAGCCCAAACCCTTTGACATAAAAAGCCCACAGCAAACAGCTGGAACATCTCAGTGGTCCCCCACACAGCTGTTTCCTGTGACCCTAAATAACCCTTGCTGCTTCACAAACCCGCATTTTTGCACAGAGGGAAGGAACATAACACTGCCAAATGCCTGGGTTCTGTACATTCAGATTCACATCTGGATTGCATTTATAGAATGTGGGCACATAATTGTATGTTACTTTCGGTAACCTACAATTTACCTTCGGTAAATGTTACTTTTGGTATGACCTAAAAACATGAAAGATCAGCTTGAAAATGTTATTTTTGTTTCTGAAAGCTTAAAAAAGAAGAAAACATTAAGACTTTTATAGTGCATCTAACAGTATGATAATGAGTTTGAATTTCTTTTAAGAGATTTAAGAATCAGATAACTGTTTGCTAGAGCTCACAAGCTGCAGTACTTTGACATATGAATTACTGCCACACTTATGGCTGGTCCCACCCAGACTGCCGCTCTAAAGTGTATGATGGGGAAAATTTGGGGATATTTGGATAAACAGAAATACTTTTTAGCCTGCTGAGTTTTCACTTTTGCAATTATAGTTTGGATTAGTGTTGTTTTCCAATGTAGTATTGTTGAAACAGCTAAACTGAAAATGGAATTAAATTGTTTTTACAGCCCAGTAGTCCAAATGGCTATTGCTTTGATGTGGATAATGAGATGGCTAATGAATTTAAACTGGAATTAGTGGAAAAATTCTTTGCGATAGACACAGAAGCGAAAAATCCATTCTCTACTCAGGTATGTACATTAAGTTAGAGTTACAAGTAAGCTAAAATACTTTGTTCTTGGCTAGAATCATTTTCTTGACTATTTAAAATCAATGCGTTAAATTGAGAGTAGTTTAGCGAAGACAAAGCAGTAATGTTTGGAAAAAGGTTTTCATAACTGAAAAGAAATGGGGATTACAGAACATTGCTCCAGAAGCATGATAAGAGGGAGAGCATTGATGACATTGAAAGTATTGTGGCATGTCATTCTAATGCATTAGGAATTGTATTTACCTATTCTTCTTTTAGGAAACAGATTTAGACTTGGAAATGTTAGCTCCATACATCCCAATGGATGACGACTTCCAGTTACGTTCCTTCGATCAGCTTTCTCCACTGGAGAGTGCGTCTGCTGGCTTACAGAATACAGCCACCATCACCATATTTCAGCAAACTCAGACCCCAGCTATTACTCCTGATGAAATCAAGCCCGTGTCAACAGAACGCGTGGATGACATGAAGACACTAATTGTTTCTTCGTCTCCAGTCCACATAAAAAGTGAAACCAGCAGTGCGCCAGCGTCACCGTATGGTGGGACTCGAAGCCGAACTGCCTCTCCAATCAGAGCAGGGAAGGGGACGTTAGACCCGACGGAGAAATTGTGTCCAGGAATGCCCAGTTTGTTAACAGTTACTTTAAGTAAAAGGTATTTTGGACATTAAGGCTAAGCTCTGTTGTTCGTGTATCTTGAGGAATTTGGGTCTTTGCAGCATCTTGACAGATGTTATGCAGTAGAGCTTTTTTGCAGGCATCTTTTTAAAGCAGAAATTCAGATGCGTTACTTTGAAGAAGGCTGAGTAAATGACTTTAGGCTTAGTGCCCCTAAGCAGCAAACCGAAAATGAATTTTCCAAATGCTTGTTTGTAATTTTTACTGGCAACAAGGTATACTTAGGAAGTTAGTAGTTCAGCCGTTCTTGTTCATAACTATGTTGCTCCTCTAGATATCTCACTAGAAGTTCACGTGCAAGTACACAGTAGGCCAGTGGTTCCCAACTGGAGTGCTGTGAGAACATGCCTGGGGTGCCGTGATGCCAGCACTGTCTGCCATGGGGTGAAATTGCCCTTCCCACCTCAGTTTCAAGAAGTGTGTCAGAGCTGAACAAGCAGCGGCAGCAGCAGAAAGACACGCAGCTAGCAATGCATTATGCAGGCAGGCAATCCGTTTCTGCTGCAGCACTGCCCAGTTCAGCTTCCTGAATAAGGAAGTGCATGGGGAGTTCTCCCTGGTGGCAATGGCATTCATCTCCGGGCTGCTGCTGCTGCTGTGGAGCAAAACTGCTCCACGTGTCCCTGTTTTCAGGAGGCACATTGTAGTCTAACTGAGAAGTAGCTGCAGCAGAAACAGAACAACTGTCTGCATGATGTGATGCAGGCCTCGTGCCTTTCTGCTGCAGTTGCTTCTCAGTTCAACATGCTGCCTGAAAACAAGCGCATGGAGCGGTTCCATCTGCTCTGTGCACCTTCGTTCCAGGAGACACTGTGCAAGGTCTGACCAGGAAGGATTGCAGCAAAAGCACATGCTCCTGCCATAGCCATTTTCCCAATCCGCCTCTGCAGGAGGAGAGTGGTGCAGAGGCACTTGGCTGTGGCAGCAGTGTCCGTGGAGTAAATATAATTATAACAATCTAATTGGCTACTACCATATTATTAATAGGATTATGATTAAAATATGCATAATATATTTATATTGGATTTTGAAATATAGTGCTGCTAAGTTTGGAAAAGTTTTGGAGAAGTGCATTGTCTTAGTCTAAAAAGGTTAAGAACCACCGTGATAGGTCATTACGAAAGAAGCTAAATCTGAGCCCTACAGCCTTCCCTGCTCTGTTCATAATATAATACAAAGATTGTACTTGTCCTGCAATGAGATGTTTAAACTTAAATAAATCCGACATAAAATAAGTAGTAGATACGCTGGAGAGTCGGGCTAGGATTCAGTGACCTAGACAAATTGGAGGATTGGGCCAAAAGAAATCTCATGAGGTGCATCCAGATGAGCGTGGCTGTGCATATGTGATGCCACAGACCTATCTGCAGCGCCACACATGCAGGCATTCCCTGTGCTGCTGCTTTGCATTGTTGGGGGATTTCTGAAATCCCAGGGTCAAAAAAACCCACACCAAAAAATAGCAGGGCAGCACATGTCAGCACCGTGCAAAACCAGAGCCTGGCTGGCCAGAGCCACGTTCTGGCTGCTGGCCAGGCTTCCTGCTGCAAGAGTGCTGTGGTTGCAGTTCCCAGAGGCCCCCAGAACCCAGGTAAGGCTGCTGGGACCAGCTCAGTTGCCGGCTTCAGCCTTCTCTACCCCACTCAGGGTAACCTGCAGCACGCCAGAGCATGTGTGGCACAGGCGTTCCCCAGGGACAAGCAGCAGTGGCACAAGGTGCGATGCTGCTGCCTGTCCCTGGGGAAATGCACATTCCTGCTTGTCTGGACACACCCATGAGGTTCAAGAAGGACAAATACAAAGTCCTGCATTTAAGGTGGAGCAATCCCATGCACCGGTACAGGCTTGGGACCAACTGGCTAAGTGGCAGCTCTGCAAAAAAGGAGCTGGGGGTTACAGTAGACAATAAGCTAGAGATGAGTCAATGGTGTGCCCTTGTTGCCAAGAGGGCAAATGGCATCCTGGGCTGCATTGGTAGGAGCATTGTCAGCAGATCTAGGGAAGTGATTATTCCCCTCTATTCAGCACTGGTGAGGCCACATCTGGAGTCCTGTGTCCAGTTTTTGCCCCCCCTCGAAAAGATGTGAACAGGTTGGAGAGAGTTGAGCGGAGGGCGATGAAAATGGTATGAGGGCTGGGATACATGACTGATGATGAGGACAGGCTGAAGGAACTGGGCCTGGAGAAGAGAAGACTGAGAGGGGATTTAATAGCAGCCTTTGACTACCTATGGGTGGACTGTTCTCAGTGGGGGCAGATACAGAACAAGGAGCAATGGCCTCAAGTTGCAGCAAAGGAAGTTGAAGTTAGATATTAGGAAAAACTCTCAGTAGGAGGGTGGTGAAGCTCTGGAACGGGTTACCCAGAGAGGTGGTGCAATCTCCATCCTTGGAGGTTTTAAAGACACAGCTTGACAAAATCTTGGCTGTGGGCTGATCTAGTTGGGGCTGTTCCTGCTTTGAGCAGGGGGTTGGACTAGATGTGACCTCCTGAGGTCCCTTCCAGCCCTCATTTTCTATGATTCAGAAATGCAGATTATGGTTGTCTATAGGAGATTTTTGTTGACATGGTGATAACAAATCATTGTCAATCTGTATGATAGAAACCAGCTTTTTGTCTACACATGAACTTGCAAAATCAATGTTCTGATACCTTTCCTGAGGAATAATAAATCACCAAAGATTTTTTCCCTTTTTTCTGGAGAGAGAAGCTTTCAGAAGGCCAACCGTCTCTGTGTAGCTTAGGTTCAGACTGTTCTGACATAGATTCCCAGCCGGCCTTCTCTCTAACCATGGGCAAACCTCGATAACGGGTCCCCCACCAAGAAAGCTAGCACCAGGATATATTAACAGTTCTCTGGCCTATTTTACAAAGTCTTTACAAAGAGGCATAGTCTGAGGATAGTAGAAACTTCTTAATAGACTGGATCATTTTTCTTCCAGGTCTACGGCAGTGGATGAGGAGCTGAGCCCAAAAATGCTAGCTTTGCATAATGCTCAAAGAAAACGAAAAATGGAACATGACGGTTCTCTCTTTCAAGCAGTTGGAATTGTGAGTGTTGTTGTTTTTACCATTTATCATCATCATTTTAATCCTAAAACTTTTGATGTAAACCAGTGATGCTGGCCCAGAACTCAGGCAGTCACAAAAGCTTTGTTCCTTACTGTGTACTGTACCATATTGCACCCAAAACTAGCAACATTACAGCAAGTGTAACTTTTAAATCTCCTGACTACGGAGCCATTCATTTCATCACACAGAAGATGTGTTTTTCTTACCCAAGAACTTCACCAAAATGAAAAATGGCCCACCTTAATTTAAGTCTCTTGTGTCCACAACATTCCACCATCTTCTTGCTCAATACACACCACAGATGAGATAAAACTTGTAGATTCAGACAACACAGGCAACACTCTTGTCAGCTGTGACTGTAAGTGGCTGGCTTTCCCTTTGTCTCTCTTGTCTGCTTAAGTAGTGCTCTGTTCTTTACCTGTTCCTGTGAGTAATAACCACCAGAGCTCTAATCTGTCCCAGATTCATAGAAGTCGGGTTGGAAGGGACCTTTTAGATCTTCAAGTCCGACCCCGTGCCTGGGCAGGACAGAAAACTGGGCTCAGATGATCCCAGCTAGGTAGGCATCAAGACCCCCAGGGTAGGAGCCAGCACCACTTGCCTTGGAAGTTGGTTCCAGATCCCAGCCGCCTTGACAGTGAAGTAGTTCTTACGGATGTCTAATCTAAACCTCCTCTCCAACAACTTGTGGCCGTTATTCCTTGTTATGCCAGGGGGCGCTCGGGGAAACAAGGTCTCTCCCAAACCCTTCTGGTCCCCCCTAGTGAGTCACCAGGTCCCCTTCTCTTGTGAAGGCTGAACAGGTTCAGGTCCTGCAGTCTCTCATTGTAGGGTCTACCCTGTTGTCCCCAGATCATGCAGGTGGCCCTCCTCTGGACCCTCTCCGTGTTGGACCCCAAGTCATCTCAGTTGGGAATTGAACCCAGATCTCCCACCTGGCAGGCAGGAACACTGCCACTACTGGCTTCTCTTTTGTCTACAAAGAAATTCTCCCTCTGATAGAAACGGTCAAGAGTCCATAATGGCAGCAAGTACAGGGCAGCTGAGCTGAGTGGCAAAATAATAGGAGATCAAAATTCACACCATCATTTCTATGTAAATCAGTTTGCCTTTCTGAAAGGCAAATAGCACATGAAAACCCAGAACACAAGTCATTCCACAGAAGAGGAGGAATACCACTCTTAATTTGCAGAGGGAGATGTCTATTTGTTTCGATGCATTTTGCTACTGCTCTGACACTGGTAGAACTAGGAAAAGAGGCAATGTACAAGTATGTATATTCATGCTAATCTTGAAACGGGTGGCTGGCTTTACAAAATCCTGCTTAGCAGGTTGTACCCTTTTTAAGTTCACTTAGAAATAAGTTCTTTTTAAACAGGGCCTTCACTCAATTGCCCTAAAACCTTCTTTGCCATGTACTGAATGCACTTAATTTTAATTTGTAGCAATGCTTAGTTATACCAGTCCTGATGGGTTGACAATAAATTTAAGAGGAAACCCTAGATTTGCAATAATAAAAGTTACTTTACTTTTTATTTTAGGGGTCTTTATTCCAGCAGTCAGGTGATTGTGGACCAAACGCATCGCTTTCTTGGAAACGTGTAAAAGGCTGCAAATGTAACAGCCACAATGGAGTGGAGCAAAAGACGGTCATTCTGCTATCGACGGGTTGGTGTTTTGTGTGTTTTTGTGATGGGGAGAGGGCATGAGAACTGAATCAAATTGAGCGTTAAAACTATCTGCAGGATGAACCTACCTCCCCTGTAAACAACTTGGAGGAAATGATAAACATGGTTAATAATGTGCACTCATCTGTTCTCTTTTCCCCCTGTTTAGATATAGCAAGTAAGCTCCTAGGGCAGTCGATGGATGAGTGTGGACTACCACAACTTACAAGTTATGATTGCGAAGTAAATGCTCCCATACAAGGCAACAGAAACCTGCTACAAGGTGAAGAATTGCTCAGAGCTCTGGATCAAGTTAACTGAGCTTTCCCAACACTTGTTCCTTTTTCTGGACACTGGTGAATCATCACCGAAAGCAGTCTATTTATATTTTCTATATCTGATTTTAGAAGCCTGGCTACAATACTGCACTAATTCAGTTAGTTCAGTTTTGATCCCCTTTCTACTTATTTTGACAGTCTTTTTAATATGTTCATTATGTAATAACTCGGATTATAGTGCATTTTTATAATTCTTTGGTACACTTTAAGTCCATTACATTTAAAACACACTTGCAATAGCAGCTTTGAAATATGCACCGAATTTTTCAAAACATATTTATTTTTTTGGCTGGGGAGGTCGGCACCGAAATTTTAATATTATCAATCAAATGTCAACACAGTAAGACAAGCAATGCTTCCATCCTACTCTTCACAGGTATTTGGAAGATTTTTGTTCTTACTTATGTCCAAACAAATTTTTATTTTAATGATTTTTTTATAAGAAGCAACAATGCTTTGCAGCAGTGCATTGTAGCCACAATCGCACAATATATTTTCTTAAAAAAATACCAGCAGTTCCTCATGCAATATATTCTGCATTTATAAAACTAGTTTTTAAGGAGAAGAGTCTTGTTTGTTTGTTTGTTTTATTGCCTATGAAATCATGTTTAAACCTGGAGTATGTCATTGTTTTTAGTCGCGTTGTAATATAAACTGTTCTTAAATGCTGTATTATGCTTTCGACTGAAATGAGTGTGATTAGTAAAAAGGAAGGGTTTTATCTGGAAAGGGCTAGCAGCATTTTATTTGGATTAATTCTCAATTTAGAGAGAGGGTTTGATGTTCCTAATGTAGTCACTTTGCCAGCTCAAAAAGAAATGCCCTACCTGTAGTTGTGGAAGTTTAATGCTAATATTGTGTATGATCTTTAAATCTAAATGTTCTGCTTACCCTGTGTGGTATAAGTGATATTTCAAGCAGATTGTAAAACATCATGCATTGTTAACAAAGTTGCCTAGTACATCATTGAGTTGCTCAGTATTTGATGTTTCGGTTTTATGCACCTTGTTGCGATTAACATCCGTATGTTTTCACGTAGATTTCAATAACTGAATATACTTAGAAACCCTTTTATTTAGAGAGAGCTAGTTGTCACAAACATCTTATTTTCCTATATGTACTGTACAAAAAATTCATTTGCTCATTCTTTTGCTCTTTGTGGTTGGATCTAACACTAACTGTATTGTTTTATTACATCAATAAACTATATGTGGACCAGGCCCCCTCCAGGAGTGTGGTATCTACTGAGAAAGATGAAATCCTTCAGTTTTGTAATTATTTTTAAAGGGTGGCTCTTCGTAAGGAATATTCCTTTTCTAATTCTGTCAAGGTTATATGACGAAAAACTCTTTTTTTCCCCCTAATTCCTGCCTCAAAATCCATAAAGTCAGTCATTTACCTGAGCCTAAGTATTACTACAGATTTCAAAACAATCCTGTGCAGTTCAGTGGCAATAGATTTTTTTAAGTTTAAGCTTTTGAAACTTTTCCATCATCATGCACTGTATCAGTTAGTAAAGCTGAAAGTGGAAGGAAATGTTGTGTATTTGTGGTAACGATGGGGGACTTTTTTTTCCATCGCTTCCTTTGGCAGTTTACAGCTTGAAGGTGGATCGCCAGAAAAAATTTCAGGGTTACCTTTGAAGATTGGGAACTTGGAAGTCAGAGGAGAAATCAAAAGATGATAGGAAAAAAACCCACCCCCCTCCCCTTTCTCCTAGCATGTAATTAATGTATGAGTGGTGGAAAATGCAGCTGGCATGGGGAATTTGCTATCTTCCTAAGTATATTCTTACTCTGTCCAACACTAGCTCTGGTGGCAAGATAATGGTTTTCATTTTGCTACATTAAAATGTCATACCACGAATACCAGCAGAGAATGACAGTACAGCTTCTGTCCTAAACATCAAGATATTTAAAATAGCAGTGCCTGATGCTGAAGTCGCCTGGTGCATTGTTGAATCTTCAGCCCCAAATTTAGGACTTCTGGTGGTCAGAGTTAGGGACTGAAAAAAGAAACTCATAGAAGCCCCTTAGCTAACCCGGAGGAAAATGCAGTGGTCCAGCGCGTAGGTATTTGAAATACCTTGCTTCAATGTCTGAGCAAAATGTTAAAAATGTTTCTTGAATGAACGTTTACTATACTTTAGGCATAATTTAATTCTTTCCTGGACTCTGCGCTGTGGCAGTTGCAAAGTTTCAAAAGGATGTGAGCTATGCACATAGGCTCTTACGTCTCTGAAAATTAAGACAAGTCAAATTGAAAGGGTTGGAGAATTTAGGAACTCTTGATCACTTGTTCTTCAAGGATTAACCTGTTTTTTCTAAATTATTATATGGTTAAAATGCTCGTTTAGGTGTCTTTTCTCAAGCTGAGAAGTCAGTATTTTAACAAATAAATGGGAACCATCTCAGCAATTACTTCTTAAAGAATTCCTCTTGTTTATATATAAAGTAGTGACTTGGTGATGGGGTAACAGTGCCAGCTGAATATACTGAAGAAGAAAAGGATACTGTCCCTTGTTACCCAGAGCTAGATGACACATGTCTATAGACACTTAGGCCAAAATTGTAGGCTCTTGTTTTTGAAAGTCTGTTTCCTGTAGCATCTTTTACTCCATAGTTAGGCAAAGCTTTCAGATCCTCGGCTGAACATCCAGCAGCTCACACTGGGCTAATTTCAGGCACCGGTTTTGATAATCTTGGCTGTAGTGCTCAATCAGAAAAAATATTACAAATGCTTTTCATAATACGAAAATTAGAACGTGACCTTCAGTCATGCTCATCTGTGGAAAGTTACAGGCGTAGCCTTTTAAATAGAAGCGACCAAAATTGTACAAACTATATTCTGCAAAGAAATTCAGCAGCAGAGGTTTACTACTCACCTATGCTGTCTTGACGTCCTTTTCCTGCGTAGTTTTTCATGATTTCCTGTCATCTGTCTGTCACCAAGAAAGTGGCTTGAAGAGGCAGCTGCTGGCCTGGTTGGACTAGATCAGCGGTTCTCAACCTTTTGCACCTTCTGTCCCACCAACCATTTTGTCCAAAAACCTTGGTTCCACCATGATAAAAACAACCCCCCCCAAAAATTACACTGTTCGAGATACTTGCTGAATCATGCATTTGAAGTGCAAACAACTGATTTTTTCAATTAGGCAATGAGTTGAAGTCCCACCTGCATGACCTTCGAGGTTGAGAAACACCGGATGAGATGATCTCCAGAGGTCATCTGCAGCCCTACTTTCCTATGATTTGGGGACTGTGAATAGGTCTGCTGGAAAACTAAGCTCTCCCCTCTTATTTAGGAGGCTGATTTATCCAACGAGCAGCTGCAGCTGACCTGTCTGGCATTTGTAAAGCTGCTTTCTTCAAGCGTCATGCCAATGGCTACAGCTCCAAATACACGTGCCTAAGGAACCTCCTCAAAGACCAGGCTGTTATCTGATATGAAGCATTTGTGTTGTATGCATCTCCTGGCCCTGCTCGATCTTGCTGTAGTCATCTATGGAGCCTGTTTTAAAGGTACTCGCCATGACGTCCTGCCAATAGCTCAAGAACAGCCTAATGTGTGGAAGCTGCCAAATTGCCTGATGGAGAAAGTCACGCTAGAAGAGCTAATGAGAAAAAAGAGACTCCAGGGGACCCCTGGCTATTACCAATCAAGGGGAGAAGATGACTTGTCCCTGGTCTGTGATTGAATTTTTTTCAGCGCCACATGAGGGCGCTAGACCACATTTAAAAAAAGAAAGAAGAAAAGACAATTTGGGAAGACTCTTAACTGGTGTTGAAATATCCTTAAATAATAAAAAGCCTTTAGAATTTGGCTCCTGTCCTGGCTGAAGTACCTAAAGGAAATGTTAATGGAGAAGGTTAGACAGCCTCGTTGAATCGATTTGCTCAGGGGAAGATTCAGACAAAAAAAATTAACCTTTCCCGTAATGGCTGCGAAATTGTACCAACTTGCAACTGAACTCCTTTGGAAATCTTTGCTGGCGATTTTCACAGCAGAACTAATTTTCAGGATCTGCCTTATCCCCGAGGCAAACGTTTCCCCAGGTCCCTGTGGAAAACTTTAGAGTTCGCCGCAGCCCTCAGGAAGACAGAATGATCCTTTAGCCCTCAAAAACCAGTTTTGACAGGACAGAGCTAGTGATGGGTAGTAGCCGGTCAGGTTTGCTGAATGTTTGTCTTCATATAAAATATCAAAAAGTACCTTTTGGCATTTGAACAAAATAAATATTTTTGCATCCTCCTGCTCCTTGTATATGGGAGAGATGACACATTTCAGCTGGGAGTGTAGAAAGATGCACGATGATGACACGCACATTCAGCAGTGATGGTACAAGGAAGAGAAATTGGGTAAAACAAGCGTTTTTAAAAGACGTAGCATAAGTATTGGTTCTGAAAGGCAGTAGGTAAATTTAAATACTGGTAAAAAGGCAAATGATTCAAAGCTGAAGAGGCGCTATGTCACTTAGCTGGGAGGTATCGACTCCTTGACAGTGCTGGTTTAAAGGGCAGCTGGAAATGCGGTCTTTGTTTTATGAAAAATGTAGCAAAATGAACACCATTGTGATTTGAGAAAGAGACAAGTTCAGATTTCCAGGTGATACAGATCCCATCACCAACGAGGCTGTGTCCGCACTGCAAAGTTACCGCAAGCTTTCCCTGCGGACTGATCAGAAAGGAGGACGATTGCATTTCTACAGCTTGTGGCCTCTCGGTTCCTCCAAGCTGTTGCAACGATAGCCCCTTCCCCACTTTTCTGACAGCCGTGTCTCAAGCCAGCTTTTATTACTGCCCTGGCAACCTGTTTGGCCATCTGCCTGCTCTGTATTCAGGTGTCAGCCTGATCACTGGCATACTATCAGGTCCTTGCTACACCCATTTGGACAATCATGTTTGCACAAATGCAATTTATTCTGTGAGGTGAATAAGTAGGTGTCCTATTTCCTAATACCTTACATAATTACACCATTACTGAACTTTCCCTGTACTCCCAACTGTAATTATTATTACCATATCCGCAGGTCTTTTAAATCAGTTACCTCTGTTTTGATTTTTCCTCTGCGTGCATTTTGACCAGAATTAAGACGTATTTATTTGCTGAAGGAGTTGGCTTAACTCCACAACTTCCCAGGAATATTGTTCCACATTTCCTTCAAACCTGATGATATCTGGTCTCATCACAGGAACATGACATAGTAACAGTTATCTAAGAATCCAGTTCTGGGGCTCTGAAAGCCAAGCTTTTAAAACCTAGTGCCCAGTGAAAGATGGAAGAGGGGAGTAAGCTGCCAGATACGTGCTTCAATGCCCTTAAGATCAGGGTATCTGGGGTACCTGAAGTGCAAGGCAGTCTTTTTCAAGTCACTCAAATACAGCCACTGCAGCTTAAGCTAAAGCTGTGCACTGATCCTGCAAAAGTGTGTAAAACTCTGGCTGCCTATCCAGATCAATGCAGTTGTTTTCATGGCCCATAGGGTCTGAGTGCCCGCAGGTAATAAAGAGGACCAAATATTGATTCATAGGCTTCCCGAATCCCAAAAGGAACGGCGCCCAACCACAGGAATAACACAGGCCCCAGAATTTCACCGCGTAGCACTTACATGAAACTCAGCCAATTTAAGCTATATCAAAACCAGGTATGTATTTTCAAAGCATCCCCACACAGAGTCGAATTGAATCGTGTGGATTAAAAACTTGATTTGCATTATTTAAATGCAAAGATCTGCAGACCAGCTCTTACTTAGGAAGCTGATAAACATGCATCCCCCACCCTTTTTCTTTGAATACTATTTGCATGCATTTGCTTCTGGTATGTTAACATGAAGTATTTGTATAGGGGATATATATTTCTATTTTGTCCGTGTTTAGCTTTGACACCAGTGTAATCGTAACAAGTTGACTTTAGAGAGCCTGCGCATCTGTCTAGTGAGGCTATTTCAATCATAGCTCTATTCGTGAGGTTTTCCACTGTTGCACAGCAGCCTGCATCATTTCATGAAGAGTGACCTAGGATCCAGAAATCGTGGGTGGAGAGTACCTATGAGCCACCATCTAGAGGGTAACGTGCCACAAGTGCTCGTCTGCCCCCGTGTCCATGACTTGTACTCACTGCTGACTAACGTGGATCTTGATCAAACGTCCTATGTTGCTCTTCAGCGACTAACCTACAAATGATGGAGGCCTACACAAGCACCAATACGCTGGGGATAATGGTGCTGTGCACTGGGGCTGGAATTTGGGTAGGAATTTAATACAATGGGCATTCAGCTCCCAATGAAAATCAGCAGGATTTGAGTGCCCAAATCTCTTGGACTCCTTTGAAATGACTCCCTGCCAAATTAGGATTTTCAACCAAAGCTTTTTGTCAAGAGGGATCGTGGATTTAGTTAATTTTCCCGTTTATTCTGAAGCAAGTTTAAATTCCGTCTAAAATGTACTACTGGGTTGATGCGTTGTGATAGGTTTTGTGATGATCTTGCTATTCCCTCACCAAGTATGGCATATTGTATTTGACTGATTCCTCCCCCCAATATTTTGACCTACTTGTAATTGTGTTTCTTCTTGATTGTAAAACATTATGGAAGTCAATAAAAAGAGGGTTTGTTTCCAAATCCTGACACGTTCATCTTTTGTTCATCTGCCATCTCCATTCTAAAAAGGTGAAAATGGGCAATGACAGAGTCACTTTTATGAGAGGCAGATAACACAGACATGACGTCACCAGCATACCTAACCAACTCGGTCTTGGGGCATGATCAAGCTCCTTTTAAAGCAGATGGCGATTGATGCACGCTGCACACTTAACTGCAGAGTGTAAGTAACTGCACATCAAGATTTAACTTATGCGCTCATCTAGAGCCAAATCCTGCTAATGTAAATGTCATGGGACGGTCCTTAATGAACACGAGGCTAAGCGTAATGACTTAAACTGCAAGAGTCTGAAAAGCGGGGAGCGCAGTTAGAGCCACAGAGATAGTGAACATGACCGCTCAGAGATGCTTACACGAGTGGTGTCTGAAGTCAAAGACTTCGTAGTGCCATCTTCCTTTCAAGGAAAGTTTGCAGAAAGGTTGGAAAGCTGCCTCCTTCCCAGAGGAGCCAGAGCCGGCTGATTTGTGCTACTCTCAGTATAAGCAAGTGACTTGGCAGTAACTCCGAGTTTGTATTATCCTGTTACATTTTCCTGTGTGATGTCGATTAATCTCGTATCCCAACCTCCTGGCACTTCTGGAGAAAACAGAAGACCCAAATACAGGCCAGGTCAACTCTTTCCATGAGTTTTTCACAGTACAATTGAACAAGGTCTTATCCATTTCGTATCTATTGTATCATGCATTATTCTACCACCTATTTCCTGCATGCGCATTAACTGGCTATCTGACAATACTATATTCAAAAACATATTAGTTACTCACAGGTTTTCACACTGAATGTGCATTTTTAAAACACACACTATTTTTCAGGACAAAATTAAGTGTTTGGCACTGGGTGCAATGGAAACAACTCCTGTTTCACAGCCCCATAATGTACACACATTAGGAATGATTATACTGCCTACGGTTCAATACTTTGGGGTAGAATACAGGTCTGATCCAAAATAACATGGAGAAATTATCTATTTTTATAAATAAATGCTTTTCGGCATGCAGAACAAACCCATTGCCTCAGCTTTATTACCAATCCATTATGGTTTGAAAGCCAGTCTGTGAGTCAAATTATTCAGCAAAGATTGTCTGACACTTGCTGCTCACCCGATACAAAATCCGAAGGAACGTCACCAGGAAATAAGAGTGATTTTTTTTCTTTTTTTAAATCAAAAAAGCTGAGGGGACTGCCGGCTTCCCAGAAAATTAACTCTCTACACTATGAAACAGAAGTGAGAGCAGAGTTTTTCCTCAACAAAAATCCTGCTGCTTTTCTTCTCTGCATTACAATAACAGGATCTTAAAAGTAATCTGCCAAGACAGGAGGGTCTGAAATGGTAACATATGAGGCATGATGACTTTATCCTCTTTCCTTGAACGTTCACTACACAAACATATGACTTCCTGATACATCACCCTATCACTCAGGCTCAATATTTCTATCTTCTTCTGAACTGAAGTTTCCAAAAAAACCCATGACCCTGTACTGCACGTTTAAATCAAATCCAGAATTTAAAAGCCAAACCTATAAAAAGCCTTACTAACCAGACCTCGCTTTAGAGAAAAATCTTGTTCATTTTAATCTAAATGGGCTAGAAACTGTGAAGAAGTAGATGGCAATCTGGTTTCAAAACAGTTGGCTACGTGCTGGAGCGCTTCATCACGTTCCGCACTTCTCCTCACCAGGCCTGGTCAATGATTACCATGTTTACTGAAACCAATAACTTCTCACTTGACTTCAATCAGAGAAGGACTGAGTCCTGAATATTTTAGTAGTTGTGAAAGGAGAAATCGGGTTAATTCCTGAGGTTTTAACCATAGCAGCATGGTATACCAATCACACGTGTCCTATTTCACACCCTGTAACCCATCTGGGGGATGAAGAAGGGGGTTTGAAAACCATCCTAAGTATGTTGCCCTGTTGTGTCCCTCCGTTTCTCTTGCACAGATAACATAGTCTGAAAGTGAAGCTCCAGAGCTAAATGAACCCAGGGCCTGATCCAGCTTCAACATCCCAACGACCCTAAGCTCCAGGAGAAATGGCAGCTTATCAAGTCTGACACTGGGGGGGCAGGAACAGCAGGTGCAGCTCTGAGCTGCCAGCTACTGGAAGACATTTAGTTTCTAACAGCTCTGCTGATGCTTCAGTTCCTGTAACAGATGCAGCAATCAATTGCCAATCTCCGGGAGGACCCGCTGCTATTCAGCACAAATGCCCTCTGTTCCCAGCGCTTATCTGTCAGGTAATCATCAGTTAAAGGGACAAAGTCCAGGACTAACACCTTATTCATACCCTACTTTTTGAAGTTTGTTTCTGCTGCCCCAAACATTTGTACCTTCGATCCCTTAATCGGTACTTCCAATGGGTCTGGCTTGAAACAGCAGGTTTGGAAGACTTCATGGATGCTATAAAAGTTAGTCTGGCTGTTCTTGAAAACTATCAAGCAGGACTAAATCATTATCGTTTAAAACCCGCTGTGCAGGAGGCCGATGCTTTCCTGGAACAACAAGGCTCTGCTAGACCCAAAGGGCATTTCTGAAAACCCAGCTATTCCCAGTGCATCTGTGAGGGCAAGGGATCCAGGCTGTAGCCGTACAGAGGCAAAAGGAACCAGAACTCATGGTAGAAGTGACCTCTTTTATTAGACCCACTAGTTGTTTCCAAAAACATTTATTTAGACCTTTTTTTTTTGCAAACACCTCATTGGCCTGAGAGGTGGTATCTTGTATTAGACCAACGAGATGTTTGCAAAAAAATTTCTCTAGAAATTTTTTTGCAAACATCCAGTTGGTCTGGGGGGGGGGGGGGTACCTTTTATTAGGCCAACAAGATGTTTGCAAACAAAACTCTAAAGATTTTTTGCCGCTGTTGATTTTTTTGCAAATGCCTCGGTTCGCAAGGTGACGTCTTTTATTAGAGCAACGAGATGCTTGCAAAAAAAATTCTTTGCAAAAACACTGTCTTTGCAAAAAAAACCCCGAAACCATCCAGCTGATCTGAGAGGGGGTCTCTTTTATTAGAGCAAAGAGATGTTTGCAAAAAAAAGTCTAAATTTATTTTGCAAACATCCAGCGGGTCTGAGAGGGGGGCTCTTTTATTAGAGCCGCCAGACGTTTGCAAACAACATGTCTTTAGAGAGTTTTGCTTCGGCAAACGTCTCGTGGCGGTCGCTATGTAAGAGCCCACCTCGGCCTTGCCTATGATGGCAAGGACGTCTGCTCCCGCCCCTGGCTCCAGCCCTCTCCTCCTTGCTGCAGACACCCCGTGTGAACACACTCGACCCTGCCCCGGGACGCTTGCCTGTAACTTTTGCCGGTGGCCCAAGGACCCCCCGGCCCTCCCGGCCCCGCGCCCCCTGGCGAGTGTGAGCCCCGCGGGGTGCTGGTGGGGCTGGAGGTGGCCCCGGCCCGACCCCGTCCACACTCACCGCGGCCGGGAAGGGCTGGAGCCGGCTCCGCCGGAGAGACGCTGCCGCCGCTCCGGCTCCGCTCCGCTCTACGTG